GGGGGCACCAGGAGGCTGTGGCTCAGGGAGATATTGAAGCCCTGTGGAGACAGGCGGCTTCCTGGGCCTCCTGGTGGGGGGGAAATTAATCCATCTGTGGGGGTGGGGGTGAGAAGCCCTACCAGCTCCAGGGCTTTGATCTCTAGGGCTCAGAAAGCAGCCAGAGTCTTCTGCTTCAAGCCTTGGAGAGGAGCTGGAGGGGCTGATTAGAGCGAGGGGGGTGGTGGTGTCTGCGGCTCCACCTGCCAGTCCGAGCCCTGAGCACCACCCCCCGCCCCTGCCACGGGCACAGGGACACCTGGTACGGCTGACCTGTACCAGGTCCTTGCCTGAAGTTCACGACAGCCTCGCTCCATGTCTGCTCTCCTGCCCCCATCTGCTCTGTGCTCCCCACAGGCCCCTCTGACCATTTCAGCACACCAGAGCTTAAGTCATTCCCGAAAGCCCCTCCGTGATGTCATGTTGCAATGAAGGGAGATGGGATGGGCCCAGAATTGGATGACTGGGTCAGTCGGTAGGAGATAGACTGTGGAGGAGTGTCTCCCCCAAAGCCGGCCTCCCCCAAAGCCGGCCTCCCCCCAAAGCCAGCAGAACAAAGCAGAGCAGGAGAGGCTGGCGTCTCCGCATCTCCAAGTCGAGGACACCCGGACCACAGGCCCTGAGCCCTCCTTGTCAGTCCTGGGAGCCATGTGTCCCCCTCTGGGCCAGTCCTCCCCACCCTAAAACATTAAGGATCAAACCCTTTAATATCTGCCGCTGTCCTCAGTGCAAGGGAGGGAGAATGGGAGAAGGTTCAGAGTCCCTGGAATCTGGCTCCAGCTGTGTGGCCTAAGGTCTGTGGCTGACACTGAGCTCCAGGAGCCTGGTGTGTCCAGTGAGGACTGCAAACGTTCTCCGCCTGGGAAGGTGGGCTGAGCAGGAACGCCACGCTGCCAGCCTTCAGCAGGGCTTTGCAGCCCGAGGTAGGCGGGCACTCAGCTTGGCCTGCTCTGCCGTCCCTGTCCCCTGGCCACTGATGGCCTGACACTGGCACAAAGGCCCGGCCGGGAGGTGGAGCCAGCAAACCTTTCTCTGTGCAGGTGTTCACAACCCCCTGGAGGTGCTAGAGCTGGGTGCGTGGCCATCAGGAGCCATTCAGCCAGCCTGACTGGGGCAGTGCCCCACCCCAAGGGGAAGAGGGGCGAGGGGCATGAGAGATGGCTCCTGACACATTCCTGAAGAATGAAAGGGCCTCCTGTGTAGTGGGGAGGAGGGAGGGGCGCAGGGCAGGGAAAAGTTGGGGACATACCTGGGAAGAAAACAGGAAAGGTGAGGCACCTGAGTTTCCCCTTGTTGTGCCCCTCCCAGGTGTGCCAGGCTCACTTGGGATGGCACAGAGTGTGGCTGGGTAAAGAGGTCTGTGACCCACTGGAGGTTTAGCAAGGAAGCTTGGGGGCCCTCCCTGGTGGCACAGCAGGTTGAAGTGCAGCACTATGAAGCTCTCCGCAGCCACTGAAGCACCAGTTCGACCCCCGGCCCTGGAGCTGACCCACATGGCGCAGCAGACCTCTCCTGTCTCCCTGCTGCTCCCCTCAGCAGTGTATTTCAGTCAGTCTGCCTGTTCTGCTCCCCACTCTGTCTCTGGTGAAATCATCTCACCGCCCCTTCACCTCTGGCCTGTACCAAGTTCTTGTATGCAAAAGTAAATAAAACTCAAAAAAAAAAATAATAAGGAAGCTCAGAAAGGAAAGGGCCCCTCCCCCAACTCCCTCCCAGGCTTCAGGGAGGTGAGCAGGAGAAATGGCTGTCACTGTGCAAGCTGCCAGCTGCAGGGACCCCTAATTAAAGTGACAGATCCTGGGGGCCTCCCAGAGTGGAAGCTGGCAGGGGCATCCCTGGGCCCCTATCCCCAGAGCCCTTAGGGGAACAAGCAGGCCTCCGAGCTGCCGTGGGACTGGTGAGTCTAGGAACCAAACTGTGTTTGGGCTTCACACTTGGCCTCAATCCTGAAAGCAGTGGCTTTCTCTGGGGGAACCCTGAGGGCTCTCAGTGCTGGGCTGCCCACACCGTGGGCTGGGTGAGCAGGTCAGCGTGGCTGGCGCTCTCCCACCCACATCTCTCAGGGAGCCAAGGAGACAGACATCTGGGGAGGGGCTGGATGTTGGGAGTCACGGCGCAGGGTGGCTCAGCAATAACCAAGCCGGCGGAGAGCAGGGTCTCTGCTGGATCCCCAGAACTCAGGGCGCCCAGAAAGCTGAGGCCCTCCACCCCTGCCTAGGCACAAGCTGCTCCTCAGTACTGCTTGCTCCCAAGCAACTGGTGTGCCCCTCTGAGTGCCCAGGGGGCCAGCGCTGCACACTGCTCAGCGCGGAACTCCCGAGACCTGCATGGCCAGCGTGGCTGAGGGCTGAGCCGAAGGACAGGCCGATGGACGGGTGACCGGAGGAACCATGGCTTGCCCAGGTCCATTAGCCACCTGGACCAGAACACAAGCAAGCATTATGTCTCCTGGGGGCCCCAACCTACCCAGGACCCTGGGAAGGGTCCCCAGGCACGGGGGTTCCCAGCCCTCCAGGCAGCTGTCTCTGGGTACTCGGACACTGCAGCCTTCTCTGCACACCCCACCTGCTCTCCTCTTGTCTGTGTTTTGGGGAGGGAGGCATGTGCCCAGGGGCCCTGTCCGGGAAGCAGGTCCTAAAGGGCTGTGTTAGAAGTGGCTGGGGCTGGAGCAGCCTGGGGGCTGTGAGCCGCCTTCCCCACCCAGCAGTGCCCCCCAGCCCCCGACTCCCTCCAGGCCCCCTGCTCCTGCCATAACTGAACTAGCTCTCAGCACAGCACAGCCAGAGCGCCTCCGGGGCCCACATCACCAGCTCTGGCCCGTCTGTCCCCTCCAGCCCCCATTTCGGGTGCTGCCACTTCCACCTTTCCCGCCTCCTGCTCGGCACCCTTCAGGACACCTGTCACCCTCAAAATGCAGGCCCGGTGCCCAGTCTGGCAGCAAGGCCCTCAGGGGGTGCTGCCTGCCTCTCGCCAGGCCTGTGCCCGGCGCTGCCCGCTGCTTCCAGAGAGCCGCGGGCTTCCGGCCTCATGGCGCTTGCTCTGCCTTTCGCTCCTGGGTTCCTTTGGCCACACCAAGCTCCAACTTCAGTGTCACTTCTTGAAGCTTCCCGGCCGCCTGCTCATTTGGCTCACCCTCCAGGGTCTCGGAGCTCCCTGTCCACACCTCTAAGAGGCCTCTTACCGCCTTGGACGGACGGCCATGTGTGGTTATTTGCGCGGCCTTCTTGAGAGGGCAGGCAAGCCGCCTTTTAAAAATCTGAAGCCCGGGTCCTCCCTGGTGGCGCAGCGGGTTGAAGCACTGCACTAAGAAGCTTAATCCACTTCCGCAGAGTTCGATTCCCGCCTGCCCCAGAGGTGACCACATGGTGCGGCAGACCTCTCCTGACCTGCCCGCTGCTCCCCTCAGCAGTGTACTTCGTCCATCTGCCTGTTCTGCTCCCCATTCTGTCTCTGGTGAATCCTTTCACCCTCCGCATCTCTGGTCTGTACCCCAGTTCTGTATGAAGAAATAAAATAAAATCTTAAAAAAAAAAATCTGAAGCCCTGTGTAAATACCAGCTGTTCTCATCCACATGCAGCACCTCAGCGCGTGGAGCTCAGGGACAGAGGGAAGCGGTGGCCGCCAGTGGCTGGGGGTGGGGAGATGGAGAGATTCGGCCACAGGGTGCAGACTCCCAGCCCTGAGACAACGGGACCTGGCGCTCCTGGAAGTGACAAAGCTGCACGTATACCTGAGAGCCAAGAAAGAGTAGATCTGAAATGTTATCACCACCCCTCACTACATGAGAGCCTGCGGTGCTGACCGCCTTGCTACGGTCATCTCTTAGCAGCGTATATGTATCCAAACATCACATTCTGCACCTCAAACTTATATTTAGTCGATGTCAACAACATTCAGTAAAGCTGGGGGCGGGGGATGAGACCCAAACGGTAGCTTGCACATCGTAAGTTGTCTATACGTGCCTGATGAATGAATGCCTTTGGACACACTCTCACATGCACAGCCAGGAACACCCATATGGTTACACACTCATCTCTCAGGTGGGCCCCTTGGGGGAGCTGCAATGGCTGATGCAGTGTCTCTACCTGCAAAGTCCCTCCTCTCCCAAGCCCTGTTCCAAAGCTCAGCAGCCCCCTTCCCTCAGGTGGCCTTCCCAGGCCTCCCCAGGTATGCACCCTCTCTCCTTTGTACCCCCATGGGGGATGCCCTGTTGACACAGGTGGGGAGGGGTAGGCTGGGATTTGTCTCCAGGCCCAGCACTAGGGAGATGTAAGTGCTCCAAGACCAGGCAGCCCTGAGTTCCACAGGTGGCTACCTGAGCAGCAAGGTGAGTTTCTGAGGGACCCAAGAACCAGACAGTCATCCCAGCCCTTCCCATGTTCTGCTCCTGGCCTGAACCTGTTTCCCTGCTGGCCAGCAGCCCAGTTCTCATTCCCCATGTGCCCATCAGCAGAAATCACCCTCACCAATGCAGTCACCCCTTTCCCCCTGAAATCTGCCATGGGGCTGGTCCCTTTACCCAGACAGGCTAACCTCTACCAAGCCTCCCCATCCAGGGAGAGGTGGAAATCCCGGCCAGGAGTCCAGCGCTCTCAGAAGGGGGGCATCCCATCCATCCTTACCATTGCTGACTGGCCTTCAGAGACCAGAGCAGGAGGCTCCGGCGCCCCTCAGGGGCCCTTGCCTGTAACACTCCCAATGCAGAAATGCTTCTTAGGAGTCTCGGTCCCAACACACCCCACAGGGAAAGCCCCCCCACCCCGCCCCAAACACCTCGAAAGGAAGCCTCCAACCTAAACACCCCAGGTCCTGAGACACCCACAGAGAGTTGTCCCGATGCAGGAAAAAACTCGACAGCAGCCAGCGGACACCAGGCTCTAAGGCAGCGAGGCCACTGCTGGACCCAGGCAGGGCCCACCCAGAACCCCGCAGGGGTGCCCGCACCAAGCTGCCCACTGACCTGGCCCTGCGGGGCTCTTCCCCAGGCTGAGCTGCCGCAGCCGCCGCTGGTGGGCACGCCCGCCGCAGTGCACCTGGGCCTGGGCCGCCGAGTTCAGCTGGATGTTGCAGACGTCACAGACGGTGAACGAGGGCCGCTTCCTCTCCCGCTTGGGCTTGGGCGGCTCTGAGGGCCGGGGAGGGCACTCGGCAGCTCCAGATAGGGGGGGCTCCTTCTCAGCCAGGGGAGAGGGGCTCAGTGGCCGCTTCATACCTAAGCAGACAGGAGACAGACAGACGGGGGGCTGAATGTGGGGTGTGAGAGGGGGCTGGGGAGCAGGTGGCGCTGTGAGGGGCAGCCAGGCATGAGGGGTCACTCTGGGAAGCCACAGCCCTGCTCTGAACCAGTGACGGGAAGGTGTGTGGAGTGCGATGGCAGAAGCCCAGCACCCACCCTGACATGCACACAGGGTGACGGTGCGTGAAGCCCTCCCCAGGCCTGCCTGCCTGGCTCCAGGTGCCCCCGCCACCTTGGCCACCTAGGCTGTGGCAACAGCTGTTTTCAGTAGAGACCTGGGCCCTGCGGCCTGGGTCTGCTGGACAGTCTCTTCACTCACACACACATGCACACACACACACACACACACCACTCACGGGTCTGCTGGACACAGTCTCTTCACACACACACACACCCTGGGCCCCTAACTCACTTCTCTGAAACTTCCCACCTGTCTCTTCTGTCTCCAACCAGCTCTGTTCTGGGCTATCGGACCCCCTTTCTCACACCAAATTGTGCATTGTACCGTCTCGGGGAGCCCTTCCCACATTCCTGGAACTGGGGGAGCCCCAGGGCTAGGGCCTGACTGAGGCAAGACTGCACCTATTCTCTTTGCATGGGCTCAATTGTGTTCCCCCAAATTCCGAGGCTGAAGTCCTAACACAACCTTGGAATAGGGCTGTATTTGGAGAGAGGGTCCTCGAAGGGGTGACGAAGCTGGCAGCTCTCCTGCCCTGTGCCTCTGCGGGGTTTCTCACCACCAACCCTCTCCCTTTGCAGAGAGCAGAGGCCGCTTCCTCCCTGGCTGCCTGCCTCCTGTGACCTGCAGGCTTCTGCTTCAACAAACCTGCCCCTCCAGGGCAGCTCTTTCTGCCTGCTTGTGGCTTGTGTTTATGCAAGTGTCCTTTACACGCCTTTTAAAAAATACTAAATCTTCCCTTTGGGGGAAGGTTTTGAGGTCATTAGGGTGGGCCTAATCCAGTATGGCTGGCGTTCTTCTCAGAGGAAATTGGGACACAGTTCCAGAGGGATGAGCCTGTGACGACACGGGAAGAAGAGAGTCTGCAGGCAAGGAGAGGGGCCCCCGAGAAACTCTCCCTGCCACCCTCCTTCTCGGGCTTCTGCCTCTCAGAATCTGCCAGTTGCTGAGCCCATGGTCCTTTCGCTAGGCAGAGGCCCCTGCAGGGCCTCTCCTGTGTCTCTCAGGCTCAGGCTCATTTTGCAAATTAGACCAAGTGAAGTCAAGTGAGGCCTTCGTCCCCTTAAGGCTACACACCCGTGCAGCCCTCATCCAAGGAGGAAAATTCACTTCTCAAGAAGCCGCCTGCGGTCCCAGCACCGCCCCTCGCTCTCAGCAAGCTGTTCATTTCCTGGGCAAAGGTCCCATGTAACGGGATTGTCATTACATGTGTGGGGGGCTGCGTGAAGAGAACAGGGGCGCAGTGAGTCGAGCCCCGCTCTGAGCTGATTCACAGCTGGTTTTGAATTCCGGATCTTCACCTACTGCTGTGGGGCCTGAGCCAGTCCCCTTATCCAAACACCGTGAAATGAGGGTGATCGGTGACAGCTGCTAAGACACAGCACATTGTGAGGCTCGCACGAGCGATCTGACACTTTTCAGGTCCTGCCAAGTCAGCTACTATTAACCGGCCGAGTGTCCGTGCTTTGCCATGCGTGTGTCTGTCACCTGCGTGTCTGCCATGGCATCCAGGTCACTGAGTGCCTTGGACAGGTCATCATGAGTGGAAGTGACTCCATGTCGCTCCGTGTGCATGTCACAGTGTAGCTGTGTCACCATGTGGCGTCACTGTGCTCATGTCATGGAATGAGACTGTGACGTGTGCATCTGACATGGCAGGGATTCAACTGTGTCCCCTCCAAAATTTAAATGTTGAACTCCTAACACCCACTCCTTCAGAATATGACACTTTGGAAGTAGGGCAGTTGCAGATAGTATCACTTTAGGTGAGGCCAGGCTGGAGAAGACAGGATGGAGTGACTGCTGTTCTTACAACTGGGAAATCTGGACACAACCCTGCACACAAAGAAAACCCCATGAAGATGAAGGCAGAGATTGGGGTGATGCTTCTACAAGCTAAGGAGTGCCAAAGACTGCCAACATCCCACCAGATGCTAGGAGGGACAGGAGAGACTTCCTCAGGGCCCTCAGAAGGAGCCAGCCCCGATGACATCTTGGTGGTGGACATTCAGCTTCCGGCACTTAGAGGCAATAAGCATCTGTTGGCTAGACCACTGGTTTGTAGCACTTTGTCACTGCACCCCTAGATATCCGGTACATTGTGCATCTGACCCTTGCCCTCATGGGGCCCCTGACCTAAGGGTCTCGTTCCTGCTCTCCAGGGGAGATCGGGTGCTGTGCCAGGGGTGGCCTCCTGGGGGCGCGGCGAGCAACTAGCGGGAAAGGTGGAGTTCTGTCCCGTGGGGGCAGGGCAGACCCCACTCCTCCACCCCCGGAGCAGCAGGGGTCCCCTTTCCGAGCCAGCTATGTCTGGGACCCAGGGCATAGCTGCACCCACAGAGGGAATACTGGAAAATTCCTCCTATCACCTCAGGAGAAGACCCCCTGCAATGCTGTGCAGAGGTCTCCACCAACATTCTGCACCCACTCTCCTCTAGATGGGGGTCATCACAGCTGTTTCTTGCCTTTCCCACACCCCAGCAGGAAGAACGGGTAGGAAGAAAGAACCTGTTGCAAGCCTGGGAGCCAGGTGTCCAGCTCTAAAGGGAAGAGACCAGATTTTCCTGGCCATGCTAAAGAGCATTGCCTGCCCAGCTAGCAAGGGGACAGGGGTATTTTGAAATCTCAGTGCAATATATGTCAGGCAGGCCAAGGACGTGGCCCATGGGAGCAGACAAATATCTGCCACGGGACTGATTAAACCTCCGTGATATACAGCTTCTGGGCTGAGAGGGCCCTCTGGATTCAGGGGCTAATAGTGTCCCCGTGTCCCCCCACCACCACCACCACCAGGCTCCTGCGCCTGCTACAGCCTGCCTGCCTGCCCTGGCCTTCCCAGCTGTCCCCTGGGGACCTGCACTGCTCCAGCTAAGTGAGGGCTCCCAGCCAGAGCTTTTGAAGGGATGGGCAAATTTTAGGGAACACACGGGTCTGACCCCTGCTGTGAGCTTTAGCCATCACGAGTCAGCACCCCTTGCTGGCCCCTATTCTGAACCAGTGTGACTCACTCTAGCTGGACCTGTATTGGACATGCCCTCTTTACCAGAAGAGAAATTGAGACCCAGAGCAGGAGAGTGGACTTGCTTCAAAGTGCATGGACAGACTGTGCAAGAGCTTTTTCAAGAAGTCGCCTCAGGCCCTCCCTGGTGGCGCAGCGGGTTAAAGCACAGCCCTAAGAAGCTTAAGCCACTTATGCATGAGTTCGATTCCCACCTGCCCCAGAGGAGATCCACATGGTGCGCGGCAGACCCCTCCTGGCCTGCCCGCTGCTCCCCTCAGCAGTGTACTTCATCGATCTGCCTGTTCTGCTTCCCACTCTGTCTCTGGTGGCTCCTCTCACCCTCCGCATCTCTGGCCTGTACCCCAGTTCTGTATGAATAAATAAATCTAAAAAAAAAAAAGTTGCCCAGTTCCCTCTCTGCCTGGGTCACCTCTTTATAATTATAGCCCCACGTCTTGAGAGCGTACTGTGTGCCAGGTGCTTTACAGCCATGTGGTGGGTACTATTATTAACTTATTATTAACCTATTATCCCACTTCATGGATTAGAGAACAGTCTTGGAGAGTTCCGTGGCCTGACCTGAACCTGTACTCGGTTGACTCCAGAGCCTAAGTCCCTAACCAGGTCTCCAAAGCCTGCCAAGTTCAGCCTGAACTGCTGGGGGTGGGGTGTTGCAGATTTAGCGATGGGTTCCTCAGGAGACTTGGGGCTCCCTGACCCAGGTGCCAGGAGGTACTACACCCTGGGCAAGAGGAGGCAGAGATGCTTGGAGAAAGAGGTGAGTAACACAAGGTAACAGCTGAGAAAACGAGTGTGCATGCACCCAGGGGTCTGTCTGTCCACCTGTGGTCTACTCGGGAATGGGGTGAAAGTTCCGCTGCCCTCCCCTGAGGCTGGGGCAGGAGCGTGGGGTCAGACCACGGCAGGGGAACACCTGCTGAAGGCAGGTTCCCCTCGAGCGGGAGAGCTGATGGAGGTCAGGGCTGCTGTCCGTGTCTGTCCACATGGAACAGGAGCAGGCAGTGGCTGGGCCGCATCTGGCTGACAGATGCCAAGGCTCCAGGGCTCTGGGGTCCTCGGACATCGCAGGGAGGTGAATCCTCTGCCTATCCAGGAAGCTGGGATGGAAAGGAAACTGGGAGCTCAAAGAATGCAGATGGAGTTGCTTCGGCTGCGGCCTGGGGAGAGGGTCCTCAGAAGGAGCTGCTTTAGCCAAAGGGCGAAAGGGTGAGGAAGGTTCTAGACTATGCCAGCCTTTGTCAGGACATGAAGGACTCCCTCACCAAACCCTCAAAAAGCCCAATTACCCTCTGGTATTTTCCCACATCTGCCAACACACCTACCTTCCTGCCTCCCACAGCCAGTTCCAGGCCGCCACTGCGAAGGGAGCCCAGCCGGCTCCCCAGCCTCCGGGCCCAGCGTCCCATCTTTAAAAGAGGGCGTGAGGTTGGGCTAATCTCCTGGGTCCTTTGCAGACGGCATTGTGGTGGCTGGTGGCGACACTGAGCAGCTGCTTCCAAGGTGGGGGTGTGGGGTGTGGAGGCTGAGTAACATTTGTTTGTCTCAGCACCAGGGAAGGCGGGTGGGTGTGGAGAGTGCCTGGTGCCCCGGGCACCGCAGAGGCATGGCCTCCACTCGCCCTCATGTCCTGAGACTCATATGAGGAAACTGAGGCTCAGAGTTGAAAAAGAGACAGGTGTAAGACGAGTTCTCTCTCATCCTATGATGGGGTGGGGGGTAGACCTTGGCAGTCCTCATCCCAATCACTTACATGGCTACAAGTAAGAGTTGGGGTACCACGCTCCCCACTGACCCAGCCACCCAAAGAAGAATCTGGAGGTCTGTTCTTTCCTCATAGGGTGTAAGTCCACCTGGCCTGGCTGCTCCTGGCCACCACAGAGTGCTTGTTCCCTCTTCCCTACCACGTCTCCCTTCTCCCTGGCTGACATGGCCACAGTTTAGGAAAGGGGAGCAGCTTGTTTCAGGGCACGGCCACCAGAGTGGCACCCCACCCTCCAAGCCAGGTACCCAGATAACTGGAGTTACCAGGTCCTGCCCAAGACTCCCCAGAGCACAGAGACACTACCTCGAGGAGGGGGATGCTTGAGTGGGGTCCCCCATCAGCCCCCAGCCCACACTTCCCTGCTCTGCCAAGGTAGGAGGCCTTGGGGCCGGGCGACAGCTGGTCCAGGTGTGAGGGGCCAGGTGAGGGTTCTACTGGGCAAACCACATGTCTCCCTTCTAGTGGTAGCCTGCCACCTTCCCTGGACTGCAGGGTGCTGGGGTTTCAGGAGTAAGCTGAACTGAGAGGTGCTAAGGTCAACACTCCAGCTTCAAGGGAGGGAGACAGGGCCCAGAGGCGGGGGACAGTGACCATCCAGAGGAGCTCCTGCCTCAGCTCTCTCCCAGCTTGCTCAGTCCTTACCCCCTAAGGGCTGGGTGTCCCAGAAGGCCTCATTTCCACTTGACACCCCCAAAGACCGCCTCTCCTGGGCTGTGTGGCACTGTCCAAGGACGCCCACGTCACCCTGGGGAAGGAAGTCCTTCTGGCTATCTGAGCTGCATATCTCATGGCAGGGTCTGCAGTGGCCACGCAGAGCACCTGCGCCGAGGCTGTGGGCAGGGGCAGAAAGGCAGGTGAGCTGCCAGACCAGGAAGCCGGACTCCTTGTGCAGGAGAGCCCCGTCATGCCCTGCGCCCCCACCCCTTATTCACACCTGATCCCCACACAGTTCAGCCTCCTTCACCCCGCCCTGCCGGCCCCACTCCCCAGAGCTCTGAGCAGCCCATTCCTTGCAGGGGGGACCCCATCAAGGGGAGTGGGGGAGTCAGTCCTTTCAGCCACCCAGGGGAGGGTCTGGAGGTCTGGAGACAGTGAGTTGGGGGCATGGAAGGGGCCAAGCAGAACTGCCCCCTCCAGCAGGGAACCCAGCCTAGCCCATTGCTGAAGGTGAGGCAAGGGCTTGGACGGGGAGGGGCTGGACAGGGAGGTCGCCAGGGGCTGTGAAGGTGCAGGTGCTCTTTGCACAGCCCCAGAACAGCAGTAGGAGAGCTCCCCTCCCCCAACCTCTCCCTTCAATCCAATCCCTGGGGATTCCAGTCAGTCCCTCTAAACTCCTCAGGAAAAGAAGGCGGGTCACTCGGGAGAGCCCCTGAGAAAGGTCCTCTCTTTAGGGAAGGTCTCGCCCTCTCCACCCGCGCTCCCCAGCCTCCCTTTCCCTACCCGGGCTGGAAGTCCTTCTGTCATCACCCTCAGCTTCCGGTTAAGTTGGGGTGCTTGTCTCTCCCACACAGGCGGGCAGGGACTGCGCCGAGCCCCCACCCCCCCGCCCTACAGGGCCACCCCCATCCGCGCCCCACGCGGGTCTCTGGGGCGCGTGGTCCCGGGCGCGGAGCTGGGAGTGCGGTCCCGGGCGAGCGCTCTCGCCTACCTGACCGACGCTCGCGCCCCGAGCGGGGCTGCATCCCGCCGCCCGCGCCGCCCGCGGCGCTCCCGATTCCCGGGCCGGGAGGTGCCCGGCGGCTGAGTCCCGCCCGGGCGGCGCGGCCAGAGGCAGCGCGTCTCCCGAACCCGCCCCTGGGCGGCCTGCGCGTGCCG